TATTATTATTATTAATAATAATAATAGTCAATACACAATAATTGACTAATGTTTAAGCATTGTCTTTCATTTGTTATTTTCTATACATTAATACAGCAACTGTGAGCCTCCAGTAATTCAAGCTCTCTAATATATAAAAATCTGCCTAACGTCTGTGACGGTTTACATACATCCTAAAAGTGTTTTACACTGTAAAGCTGCTCGCACTGCTTGCTACACAACTACCAATCATACAATATCGATTATGAAAACTACCCAAAACAAGTAACCAAAGCTCTTCCTGCTGCTGGTCTGCCAGCGCAGCCTTTCTCTCCATGTCAACGCTGCAGAAAAAAGGAGTCGAACGGTGCTCGTGTTTCGACAACGTGTTCTGGTAAATGATGTGTCTCTGAAAATGAAAACAAAACTGCAGCAGCTCTTATTGAAATGGAAATGGGGGCAGGAAACGTTTGGAGGAACTATATGAAGCCACTCAATCAGGAAATCCAGCAGTGTAGCCCTCTGTCAGATCATATATGTGATGACAGCGTGAACATTTTGACATTTTCTTTTACATATTTATGACATTTATGACCGTCATGTTCCACCTCTTTTATGTACTGCCTGTTCACAGCAGGGAGATTCAAGTATGAGGACACCTTCTGTGTTAAAGGTGCAAAAGTGAAGCGGAGGGCTTTCACGTTCAAGCCCGCAGATAGTAATCATGAATCAGTGTGAACCTGGGTCCACACGATCCACTATTTCCACCCTTCCTGTGCAACATATTCTAGTGTAGGCCGTTTGTGTTTTGAGAGATGTTGCACTGCATTGGTTGCTCCTCATGTGCAATAAGCTGAGGTCTAGAACACTTTTCTTTAATATAAAACAAAGGCACATAAGTTCTCAAATAAGCAACCTTGTCGGTCCAGTTTGGAACAGAAAGCCCATAAGAGGTGTGTCATTGTGTGTTTGTAGCACCTTTATTGAGAAGGTGAGCAGCTATCAACCATCTACCGTAACACTGCCTAACAGCACACTCATCAAGTGTCAAATGCTGGAATGTGGCGCCAGCCCTTCCGAAAACTCGCTGGGACACATAAGACGTCATGCCCCTCTGATTAAGCCGGCCTGTGTTTAACCACACTGACTCGCTGTGGTTCAGTGTGAACAAGCAAAGGCGTCATAACAACGGGGGTGTCACCTGACAGCCTCAAGGTGGAATATCTGTGTGAAAAACAATAGGGGGAGCCTCCAGAGCTGAAACATAAAGCCAACATGGAAAAGGCAAAGATGTAGTACCTCTAATGTCCACTTGAGGGACTCCAAAAGTGTTTTTTTTCTCTCTTTTCATAAAAAAAATTTGTTTATAGAACTCATCTACTTGTTTAATTAAGTTAATGCTGCAGCTGTGTTAACTGACACGTGAGCTTTACAGTTTGCTGATAACTTAGCACTCCACCCTTTTATCCATGCACGGTTACTTCTAGCTAAAAAACAAACAAAAAAATGAAAACAAAACAAAAAACAACATGGTGCTAATTTCACCTTAAAAATGAGTGCAAAACCATTACTTTATCACGGTGACAATGTCCATCTTTATGCTTTAAAAAAAATGTTTTTTTGTTTTTTGTTTTTTTAAAAGATTTTCTTTTGTGTTATTTTAATTTTGGCCACTTGGGGGCAGCAGGAAAACCAGTAAATGCTGGCGTATTTTAAAGCTGTATTTGATTTTTAGAATTCTACCCTATATTTGTAAAAGTATTGAGCTGCACGTCTTAACCTTTGAATTTAGGTGTTTTCAGCTGCATTGGCACAGCTGTGTAACATCAAGCACCACGACAGGCAGGCTGCTTTTACAGACACTTCAGTGAGTCCGTAACTCCAAACATCCTTTGGCATTAACGTCAGCACAAAAACTGTACATCGGGAGCTTCGTGGCACGAGTTTACTCCTGCAGATGCAATGTGTAGGTGGCCCAGTACTTTTATACATATAGTGTATTTTTTGCCCCTTGAATATTGTGAGTTTAATATTGACTCCCTTTTATTAAAAAATATAATAAAGTTTTGTAGTTTTATGTTTTGTGTTTTGCAGCGAGTTGCTCACTCTCTCTGTTTAGAGGCAGCAGTGAGCTGGAAGCATGATTCATGGGTGAAGCTGAAACAACAGTAAAGGTGAGAGCAGATAAATCAAAACAATAACCTAAAAGATGCTAAAACATAGAGTACAGATGAGATGAATGAGTGGTGACTCATCAAGTGAGCTCTTTCACATTACACATTTGAGCCATTGTTACAAAAGCTGTGGTTAAATGCAGCTTTAAACGGCGGGACTGCATCGGGCTCCGGATTAACCTCTTAGCAGTCATCGTCAGTGACCCATTTAATGTTGGGGCCACGCTTTGGTTGTGTTTTAGCCACAACTCATAAAAAAGTAAGAACATCAGCTCTTAAATGGCAGATGTAGCAGAAGGAGTATTTCTCTGTGCAAGCCGTGTTGACAGGGCTGATCTGTGGAGTGTTTGTCTTGCTGCCAGATGTGACTTCTCTCATCGGCGTGTCTCGACAGAAACCGGGCTTCATTTCACCAGCCGGCATTTCCCGTCCGCCTGCCATTCAGCCTCCATCCTTGTGAGTTTTTCACATCACTGTAGTAGTTTTTTTCTTTGTTGCGCTCCCAGTGGAACACCTGTTCACATTCTCCTACTGTGTGTTAATAAGTGCCACTATGGCAGTGACATAAACACAGTATTTTTGGTAAACACTAGCCATTGTAGTGCATAATTTTCTATATTATATTATATTATATTATATTATATTATATTATCACCAGCCTTATTTTGGCCATAGTACAACATTAAAGTTGTATTTCCTTTGAATTACAGACCATTTTAATTATTGTCACACTCTTTGGTCTTCTGCACTTTCACCCATTCAAATGGCTGCTAACCTACATCTTCTTCCAGTAGAGTAGGCTACACACACACACATGTGGTAACAGTCTGAACATAAGGAAAATATCAATATTACTGTCTGCTTTCCTTGAAACTGTTAAACTCAATGCTCTTTTCTTCCAGTTACACATTTGATCTGATTGTAAACAAGTCACCTAACCACCTTCTCACGAACTCATGTCAGTCTCTTGGGCTACTGGTGGCTGTAGCGCTAGCAGCAATCGAAGTCCAGCAACAAGCTGCAGCTTCAGCTCCGTCGCCTCCTTCGCCACCTTTCACCTTTAGTAGTCACAGACGAAAGGTTTACACACAAGATCAATAGGATTCCTGCTTTTCAGCGTGCCGTGGCATCACGGTTTATCACATTTGTGTGATAAATTCACAGGATCACACATACATATTTTTTTGTTCCATCCAGTGTTCATCAGTGAAAGAGCGTTCATACCTTCCTTCTACTCTCTAATCTATCGTGAAACTATGACACCTCTGTGAGGTGATGGCAACCCTTTAACTGAACGCGGCGCAGCTAGCCCGACTGCCCCGTCACGCTGGAGACGGAGGCGTCTGTCTCACACTTCAGCTTCAGTGGAGGATCTGTGCTGTCAGACACGTTTGAGGACGACTGGGGAGGCGTCGATGCATCAAAGCTCTTATCCCCCCTCCCATCTCCGTTTAGCCTGTCCTCCCCTTGTCCTGGCGGGGACTCGTGGGTGCGCATGTGCTTGGCCAGGTGGTCGTTGCGCATGAACACTCTGGGACATAATGCGCAGCTGAACTTCTTGGCTCCGGTGTGCGTCTGTAGGTGTCGCTGCAGTTCATCGGAGCGCGTGAACCTCTTGCCACAGAACAGCCAGTTGCAGACGAACGGCCGGTCTCCGCTGTGCCAGCGCAGGTGAGCCTTCAGATGGGAGGTCTTGGCGTAGGCTTTGCCACAGCCGGGGATGTGGCAATTGTGCATGTGCTTCCTCCTGCTGTCGTCAGTGCTCTGGCCCATCTGCTCAGCGTGGACGCAATTAGGGCAGCGGCACACAGCCTGGCTGCCGCCTCTGGAAGAAGAGCGGCGCTGCGGCTTGGGGCGAGCTGACACAGACGTCTCCTGAGGTTCCTCCATCGAGAAGGTTTCTTGCTGCAGCATTTCAGGGGCCAGTGGCTCCATCTTGAAGCCGTCCTGGGGGAAGAGATGAGATGGTTGCGAGGGTGGAGCGTGCTGAGCCGGGGGCAGGGTGCACAGCTGTGGGTCAGAGCCATAGGGCCCCAGAGAAGGCTGCAAACCCATGGAGCCGCCTGGATTCACTGAAGGCAGGCCCACACCTTGACCCGTCTGTAGGTCTATCCAACTGCCTGCTTGGACGTCTCTGTGAAGGTCCCACCAGGAAGCGATGTTCATGTCGTCTGAGCTGCCACTAGGTGGTGCTGTCCGTAACCAGGGCTCGTACGGGTGGGCCATGTGAGCAGCTCGTGCAGGTGCAAATCTGTGGATGAGGTCACCTGCTCAAAGTGTTGTTCAGTGTCTTTTGGGTTACGCTGAGATGATTACCACATGACAGGATGGTGACGCATTAAAAACCTGCAGAAAGAAAGAGAAGACTGTTATGGAAGTACTAATGAGACCAAGTTTATTTTTCAGGAGACACAAATGAGAAGTCTAAAATATGGAGACATTTATTATTGAAATGCTTGATAGGAATGAGCATTTCTCATTCCTATCAAGCGTTTCTATAGTAAATATCTTCTAAAGAAAATTGAAAGCACTATTAAAAGCAGCCTGGCTGCTTTTGACGCCCTTCAGAGAGGAAAAAAACAACCTGTGTCAAACAGATAGAAAACACGTCATTGTGATGCAGCAGGCTCCACCAAGTCTGACCTTTTCAGGCTGTTCCCAAAAGAGTGAGACCTGACTAAACATAAGGTTTGACTCCAAAAAAGCTGGGAGAGGATTCAACTTCTGCTGTTTTAACGTTCTAACGGTAACAAAAAGGTCGAACGTAAAACTTGTTGAGCGACGAGGACAAGTTTTTAAAAGCAATCCAAGACTTCATCTCCCCACTAAGACCCAAAACTCTCTGACAACAAGCACGAACGACTACCTCACGTTCAGATGTATATCTGGATGAAGATTAGTTTGTTATAATTTCTGGAGGATGTCTTACAATTGTTCTTCCTTCACACAATTCTAATCAATCTGTCCAAAAATTCCTGGATTTGAAAAGACTCCATATGTTAATCACTTTCAAATCAGGTCAAAAGCCTCACCTCTGTTAAAAAACAAACCAATCGAAAAACCTTTTCTGCTCTGACAGGAAGCACAAAATTAAGATTCATTTTAAGTCTACTTCTAAAAAAGGCTAAAAAGGTTTAAAAAAAAAAAACAGTTTGAGAAATGAATTCTGTAAAAGTGTGTCTTAAGGATGATTTTAGGATAACGTAAAAGCAGACAGGTCCAGAGCTGAGATACCAGGACACGCTCAGACCTTTACCTGGATGCCCAACCAGGAAAAATGTAATGAAACGTAATGGTTGACTGGTTGACCAGATGGTGGTGGGAACCCAGCAGAACAAAGAGGGTAATGAGGAATTAAAACTTCATCAATAAACTCGGGCGCTTGAAAAAGTAAAGCCTTGTAAGTCATGAGCAGAATTTTAAAATGGGCTGAAAATTGAATTAGCAACGAGTGCAAGGAGGCCAAAACCGGGTAATGTAAGAAGAGCGTGTGGTTTTTATCAGAAGTCAGACTGCAGAGTTCTGCAGTCTGAAGCTGAGCTAAACTTAACAGCTCAACAGCACGCTAAGGAGGAAATAAAAGCAAGAGTAACTTCTTCTGTAACGTTTCTTTGACCTTCAGAATATTCCCGAGTTGTTGGAAACACGATTGTATCATTTTTCTGTTTGTCACATTGTGCGTATGTGTGTTTCTGAACCTCTGAAGAGCTGACGTTCAGGCCTAAATCCGCCTGTCTACAACATTTAAATAACCAACCCTAAGCACACCCCCTTCGTCGCCATGGATACTGCAGTTCTCACGCTGCATGGCCGTGGAGACAGAGGAGAGGGGGGAGCCGGACGTGTCCAGGCAGAGGCCTGCTACGTGCATCCGCTGCCAGGTACTTCCCATGGAGGACGGTCAAAGACAAGTACAAAGAAAACAACATCATCGGCCTGCGCTGAGGCAGCGCTGGGGGGAGGATAATGATGGTTGGATGGGGGGAGGGACGAGAGCGGAGGGGGGTGTTGACAGGAGAGCAGTTTGGTAAAGGAAGAAGTTCCAGGGAGGTATGGCTGCAGGCCAAAGTCTATTTGTACGTCTCTGAGGTTTTGGAGATGAAACCTGGCAGACAGGAGAACCAGTTTTTTATGAATCACACATGATTTACAACAACAGCTCTCCAGGCGAGACCCGTGAAGCGCCCTGCCCCTTACACACCGGAGGCAGAAAGCATCAACAGTTACAGACTGACGACATTCACGAGCCTGAGAATGGGAGTCGACGACAAAACGAGAACAATTACTTTACGTCCGTAATCACAGGCACACGCGCTGAAATAGCATCCTGCGCCCAACACGCTCCAGGAATGCAAACCGCAGCAGCGTCAGCGGGATGGGCTCAGATTTCCAGGTGACACAAAGCTTGTTAAAGGTGGACAAGTCTGTGGAAGCTTTGACAAGAAGCTACCAGCCTGCGAGGTTTGTCCTTGGCCCAAGATGATCTTGTTGACTTCCACTAACCCCCACCCACCTCAACTCAACCATGAACATCTGTAATTATCTTTACAGCAGGAAACAATAAAGCAGTCTGAAGCTGCAGAGGCTGGTATGGCAGTCTGGAGATCATCTGGTGATATCTGACAGGTTGACTGACAGCAGGTCGAACTGGCATCAGCCGTAGCAAGTAGGTGAAGCTGGGCTTGCCGACAGTGAAGTATCCCCTGAGTTACTCCTCCACATACATTATTCTGTGACTGTCATTTTCTTATTTTGTGATTTTTTAGCCTTTAAAACAGAAGTGGGGGAACTCCAGGCGTCAAGAGCCGGTGTCCCACAGGTTTTAGATGTGTCCTTGATCCAACACAGCTGATATGATTTAAACGGCTAAATGACCTCCTCAACATGTCTTGGACTTCTCCAGAGGTCTGGTAATGAACTAATCACTAATCATTCAGGTGAGTTGACCCAGGGTGATATCTAAAACCTGCAGGACAGCGGCACTTGAGGCCTGGAGCTTTAAAAAGACGTCACTTTACATCTAAATTTGGTTTAAAAGTCGTATTTTCCAGCTCTTACGAAGATCTGACCTAATTTCAACCACTGAGGATGCTTCAATGGTTAGAAGTTGAGTCGTACATCATAGTAGATATTTCAATCACACTTACATGGTACTTTTTAGATGTTACCAAATATCTGTATTCATTGTATTTTATGTGAAATATTTTATGTTATTTACTTTTATTTTATTTACTCAGCATTATAGAAACACTAAACATAACTTATTTCATAGCCGTAGCTGTAACCTGATGTAGATGTAACTACACAGCTGTGAATGCTGGTAACAGGCTGCATCGTAAGCTTCAAATAGTCCAGAGTAAAGTCTAAATTATTACGATTTTAGACACATGCAAATGAATTCTTTTGACAGGTGGGTTAGGTAGCTGTTCCAGAGTGCAGGTAAAGGTCAAAGTGTGATTGAGTCCTTACTTTTCTTTTCTCTTTTCTTCATTTTTATATATGATTTCCTATTTCTGCACTTTTTAACTCTACTAAAGACTCCGTGTGATTGGTTCAGATTGTGCGTTAGCAGGATTACAAGTTAGTGTGACGATTTTAAGCCTGAGTTGATCTGGATACAAAACCCTATCCAGAACATTTTTTGAAAGATTCTTTATCATTGCTAAAATTCATTTTATAAATAAATATCCACAAATATATATCAAATGTGATAAAGAGACATAAAAGACCGTTTAGACCTTTTCCTTTGCTTGTCTTTTCTGCACGTTTTTTGCGTGTGGGGTGCATCCTGAACGTTGGAGCACTACAGTCAAACCATGCATACTACATTTACTCACCCAAAGCCACTCAGCGATGTTTTCTTGTCTCAATGAAGTCGTAAAGCAACTAGTTTGGAATTCCCACATGAAAGGTCTGTCTTAAAAGGTCCAGCTGATTTAGTTCCTGTCAGCCTGGAGCCAGAGCTACAAACTGCTCTGTAATTTTTTGAGAATGTGACATGGCGGCACAGCGGCACAGTCCCTCCACGAATCTGCTCTTACTGACATAAACAAATCGAGGTCTTTGCTAAAGTGCTGGAAGCACTGCAGGCTCCTAAGAGGAACAGCTGGCATGGGGAGGGAGAGGAGGAGGCCCCCGGGGGAGGATGGTTCAGAGCAATGACAGAGTTCTGGTCATAAAACCTGTCTGACCAAGACTCAGCAGAGCCGCAATTTACGAGCCTGCCGCTGAGAAACAAGAGGCAGATTGAAGCAGCGACGAGAAAGACAGAACTCGCTACTGTTAGTCCATCAGCTGGTGATTTTCAACAAGCGTGAAAGCGCTTCTCTAATTGTTTCTACTCAGAAAATGTAACTGAGAATCAACAAATCTTGGATGTTTTCATCAGGCCTGGTTTAACTATAACTCTGTTGTCACATTTAAGAATAAAGTTGTAAAAACAGCAATATTAATACTCCAAAAAGACTAGTTTGGGAATGGAGGTCTGAGTGGACGTCATGTCATGTTTTTCAAACAGTTATAGCGGATATGTGAGGAAAGGATTGCCATGCTTACAAAAGGCATTAAAGCAAACATTAAAAAGTCCTGTAATGACCACAGTCTGACTCCAGACATGTAAAAGACGTGGTGGGCCTCGCAAACTGTCTTCTTCCATAGATTACAGGTCCCCTAGACTGAAGGACTATCTTGTTGTTTACACTGTTAGACCAAAAATATGGAAATTTAAAAGTCCATCATCTCATCTCCCACACGGGGATAAAACAGGTAAAATAGCCATTCTGTTTCCACTCTGGGTCAAATAGCATTTAGCCCACAGGAGACGTTAAAACGAACAATTAAAAGTCCAAAGTCTGACTCCAGACCTGTGGAAGATCTGCTGTCCCTTTTAATCTGTCATCCCATATTATCCGAGATATAGAACAAACAGTTACATTGTCTGTACTCCCAAAAAGACCAGTTTCAGTGCGAGGGCTTTTAGAGCAGTCTGTTTGAGGTGCGTTATAAATGGAGAGGAACTCAGATTTGTGGCAGGAGCAACAGCCACATCCAGAAGAAGAAAAAAAAAAAAAAAATAAAAGTCAAACACATGTCTATCAAAATTAAACGTTTCTGAACTTTGTGCTGTTCAGCTGCAGAACAAAAGTTAAAAACTCTTTTAGGGACAAAAGTTTGACTTCTCCAGTAGCCGATGTCATTTACAGATCCAGTTTAACAACCATCCGTCTGCTTTCCCATCTCATCAGAGACGTAGAACCACGCAGTTAAAACGCTGACACTCACAAGGAGTTTGGTTTAACCTGCAAGACGTGCATGGCGTGCAGAGTGGAGTGCATGTTTATGGCAGAGAATATATGAATGGCAAACTTCAAAATAAAACATTTCTGAACTCTGTAGAGTGACCAGATGTGAGGAAAACATTTGCCATTAGTAGAAAACGATGTTAAAACAAACATTAAAATCTCGTGTAGCGGCCACAGTCTGAGCAGCGGTCCAGTTTAACTGCAGTCCAGATGTACAACAACATCCTGGCACTCCAGAAAGACGAGCTCAGTGTCAAATGACATTTAGAAGAAGTTTGTTTTAACCTGTTTAAATACATCGTGGGTGGAGAGGAGACCACCTTTGTGCAGGAGTCACGGCTGTTGTCAGAAGGGTGAATAAAAAATGAGCTTCAAACACATTTCTCTCAACACCAGATGTTTTGAACTTTGCAGAGTGGCCGTACGTGAGCGAATGTTCCCCATCGGTACAAATAGATGTGAAAACAATGATGCAGCGACCGTGGTCCGAGACGATTTGCACACCTGGGCGAAGGATCAAGTTGTGCGATGTGCAAAGCTTGAGATGTGGCTGCTAATCTCTCCCTCTGCACTTTAACTGTGTTATTAATCACAGAGATGCTTTAGATATGAGTGACAGCTTTACATGTGAGACACTGATTCATACTCAGTTGCGTAAAATTAATTTCCTGTTTTTTTGTTGGTACTTTCAATCAAAAATCTGTTTCACAGTGACGCCACCGAGGTTTTAGAGTTGGTCGCTCTACTAGAAGTGACAAGGTACTTTATTTTTGGTGATTGTGACAAACTTTATAAAGTGTTTTGTTTCTCAGATCTTCTCAGTCACAAGTTGTCCTTCAGCACAAACTTCTCTTTATACACTTTAATTAATTAGACAAAGAAATTTTAAATCATTTAAAAAGATCAGACCTGTTCTGCTTCTTAGTTAGTGTCCAGCAAAATGTAATCATATACTGTGCAATTAATTAATATATTATTCAAGATCACCCCCCCCCCACTCCCTTTTTAAAAAAATGTATATGATATAATAGTTTTTACTTTTAACAACAAAAAGTAAAACATGACGCTTTGTTTTACATTAAAATAGTCATAAGTCTATCAAACACTTTAAATTAGCAGCACTTTCATCCTTTGCAACAATAAACTGCTAATTACATTCTTCATGACATCAATATCTATGTCAAATAAATCAAATGGAAAACACTTCCTGAGTAAAGCTGTAGCTACAGTGTGGTTCAGCTGCTTTAATCAAACAAAGATCTTAATCTGAAGCTTTGATTTCTCAGCACTGTTGACATTTTCAGAGTAAAACTAAT